AGAAAATGGCTGCTTTGGAGGGTGGACTCTGTGGCATTATACCCAGCTGAGGCCTCTCCCTTCCCCAAACCCAGCCCCCCTTAGAGTCCACCTCAAAATCTCTAGGAATCCCCCAGCTTGGCACTGGCAACCCTTGTCAGGCCTGGCCCCAATGCTCCCTCCCTCCCTCCCTGAAAGGCCGAAATAGGCCTGGAAAGGGCCCTTCCCCCACCCTTTTACTGGCAGAGCCAGTTAGAAGCCCCCCCTCCCCAAACATTCTAATCTCTCACCGTTGATGCCTGAAGCAGATCCCTGCAGAGGCCATTTCAAAAGGTATTGGGGAAAATTCAACCATCCCTGAAGGGGATTTTTTTTTTTACTTTTTGGATCTTTCTGCAAACCCAGGAAGTCTCCTAACTATGTAGGAAAAGCGGTGGGGGAGAGTGAGCCCCCTGTTGGTGGAAATAAGTATCCACAAAGAGTGGTTATTAGATATATAGATTGAAACATTAATGTTATAAAGGAGAAGTTTTATTTAGTTTCCTGGATTCACAAATTTAGATCCAAATTCCTTTTAAATTCCGTGTTGGAACCCAATTGAAATGTTTTACTATTTTAAACTTTATTTTTATTAAAAAGTTTGTATAAACGTCCATTTAGCCTCAACCGGGGTCAGGGCTTTTTCTGCCCTGGCCCCAACCTGTTGGAAGATGCTACAACTGGAGATCAGGGCCCTGTGGGACCTATTATAGTGCTGTAGGGCCTGTAAAATGGAGCTGTTCCAACAGGCCTTTGGGTGAGGCGGCAGGCATCTAATTATTCCATCTGTTGGCCTCCCCTGCTGAGCCTTCCATCCTCAAATGGCCCATCAGGTGAAGACCCATAGTTTGGTCTATGACCTAACGGTCAGCAAGCAATTACAGACTTTTAGGCAATGCTGCTGGGAAAAGGGTGAGCTAGCTGAAAAATGATTGACAACTCACGGAGCTCATTCTTATTGGGTGAAGACAGCTTACTGGAGTTAATCAGTTGGTGAATCAGTTGGAGTCGGAGTGGAACTAGACAGGAGAGTTTACTGAAAATTCCTAGTGAGGGACTCTGAAGAGAAAGGTCTGATAAGCCCTGTCTGGAGCAGAGCAAGTGTGTTGTGGCCTCTGCAAATAACAGTCTTAGGGTGGAGACAGTGAGTCTGCCAAAGGAGTGTTAGTACCTCCCCAGAGTGGAGGTGGAGTGGAATGGAGAGAAATCTCCTTGTGTGCAACACAGAAACACGACCTCCTTGTGTGCAACACAGAAACACGACTTGAGTGGAGAATGAGACATTCTCAGTTTGGAAGCTGATTAACCAGTTTAGAGAGACTGTTCACCTGATAGGGATTTGACAAAAAGGTTTGAGGAGGCACAGAGGTCCCTCAAGCAAGTCAAAAGAGGTTATTGCTCTTAAGAGAATAACAATCTGGCCAGAGGAAGAGGGGGCAGATAGGAAACCTCTTGGTCTATAAACATAGGGTTAAAGCTTAATAAAATCTCAAGTCTGTGTGACCATCCAGTGACAAGTTCAAAAGTAGGCACTCTAGTAATATCTGTAACCCTGTTAAAGCAGTGAATCATCTCTAACAACATCAAAACAAAGTAAACCAAGGAAAATTACTCTCTGAATATCTCTAGTGTTGCATAGAAGCAGTTTTGTGTATTTTTTAAAACCTCTCTCTACCAATTCTAACCAAAACTCACTTGTAAATATAATTTCTGTACCCTGCCTGTTTGTTCAAATAAATTTGATTTCCATTTCAACTTTCGGTGTGCCTAGGTGCCTATTTCTGATGGAGAATTTATAAAGGTACAGACCCTCCTCAATCACAGTTCCTTATTTGGGGTGTAAGCTAACAAAGTATCAAACAGTAAGAAGGTGTGACAACACCATTATAATAAAAGTTTATTTACCAACTAAGAAGAGTTACACCAGAGGTTCCCAAACTTATTTGGCCTACCACTCCCTTTTCAGAAAAAAAAAGTACTTAGCGCCCCCCTGGACATCTGCCTTCAAGAAGTGGACAAAAAGATGCAGTTTGTGGATCTGCACCTGGATCATTCTAGCACCCCTAAGGGGGCGGTATTGCCCACTTTGAGAACCAGTGAGTTACACGCTACCTAAAGGCTACCCAGTTATCAGATGGGGAGCTGAAAATTCATAGGGAGGTTGGAGGGAAAATCTGAGACCTTAGAAGAGTGATTGTCTGATGGGAGAGCTTGTCTGGTACAGTGGCTGCCATATTAAACCGCTGTGCCATCTGTTTTGTTTATAGCTCAGTTTAAATCTGTTTAAATTATTTATTACGGATGATTTTAATGAAGTGTTTTCTTACTGTGAAATGTTTTAACTTTTGTTGTCATCCATTCTGAGCCCATTCACGGGGACAGTAGAATATAAGCCGAAATAAATAAATTGAAATGTTTATGTATAAATGATTGATGTGCACTTGTAATTTGCTTAACTATGCTTGAGACTTCTGGTTATATCAGCGGAAATAAATAATGGAAATGGAAATCTCTCTTCAATATCACATGTTCTATAGTTGGGCTGCCCCACAGATCATGCTTATTTCTTCTACAAGGCATTCTTTTTATCAGGATATGGCTGTAGTACCTGCCACTTGACCCTAGCATGAATGACAACTACTAATCTAATACTGGCAACTGAAAAAGACATCTTAAATTCATTAAAAACATTAAATCTGCTTTCAGCTGCCACAAACACACCTTCTTGAACAAGCCAGGTTTTAACGTAACTTCGAAATACCAGCAGAGAGTTAGCGAAATATGTTTCTACTGGGAGCATTTTCAAAGTATGGATGACACCATGGAAAAGACCACTTCTGCCATGTGTAGCCCCCATTTCTGTAAAAGTCATAAATGTATAGAAGGAGTATTGCTAATGATATGTAAGGCCCAGACTGTGTAGGCTTTGCTGGTGCACATCCTGTAGCTGGAACTGGGAATTGTAGTTGAGCAAAGTAGGAGTAGTTATTCTTTTTAGCCTAGCCCTATCACAAAGTAAGCCTCAGAGCCAAACTAAATATTACAGAATATTCCAGAATATCCATCCCATGTCCACCGACACAATTTTACGAGTACTTTTTTTTTAATGTTGTGAGGCCTTGATCCAGATTGTGTGTGTGGTGGCCCCAGGAGCTCTTTCCCCCCCCCCCCTTGTGGCTTTTCTGGTGCAGAAACAGCCCCCCATGGCTGTTTCAGCAACTGAAAAGGCTCCAGGGGGGGGGGAGATGAGCTTCTGGGACTGCCACATCATGTGCCAAATCCAGATCTGGGCCTCATGGCAATTTTTAAGAACTACAACTGCTTGTAAAATGGCATTAGCAGCCACGGGATGGAACCCTGGGCCATCATTTATTTTGGATCTCAAGTCAGCATTTGTTCAAGCAAACCAGGTTTTTAATGGTTGCTTGTGGGCCAAATCCTGGTTTCATAAACTAACCATGATTAACTAAAAGGATGGTTTTGCATTAAGTCTTAACCAAGACATTTCATGAAACAATATTCCTTTGATTTCTATGGGACTGACATCCAACACATTTCACCCTAAATATGGCAAAATAAGTTTGACTAAATGAGGCTATAGTTATATGCTATAAGCACAGAACAGTTTTGAACCTGTCAGTTTTCTTTGCAAAGAATCTGCTGTCATTTAGTGCTGACAAATTTCTGTTAATGAGCCAGACCCAGAACTGAAAAGAGTTCCTTGGGTTTCAGAGAAATATTCTAAAGTTATTTAAAACCACAGAAGGATGTCTAATGTCAATACAGTCAAATTTACAAACAATGTCAATACAGTCAAAATTTACAAAGAAGGATGTCTAATGTCAATACAGTCAAAATTTACAAATATTTATATATGATACATATACAAATACAAGAGTTATGAATAAAGGCCATAGTCCAGCACAGAGACTGTTGTAATCTCACAGCCTTGAAACATGGGTATTCTCACTGCAATTTGTAAACTACAAAGGAAAGTACAGCACTACATTGCCTGTGTGCACAGCTGTTTTCCTTTTGCCATATGGGATCAATGCAGTGTGTGTGTGTGTGATTAATATCGTCAGTCCCCAATTTTATTGTCAAGATTCAGTTGAAACTCCAGGGCTTGGTTATAAGAAAAACTGATACATTAAGGAATAATCACTGTGTCTTTTATTATGAATCAGTGCAATAATCAAGTGTTTTACTTCTTTTCATTTCAACCAGGGCTTCAGGAATATGTAGAAGCAGTCTCATTCCAGTATTTTATCAAAACCCGAACATTAGTTAGCATAGAGGAGATCAATAAGCAGCTTATATTTGAAGCAGAAGACAAAGAAGAAGAAACAAAGGTGGTAAGGATATTTGTTGATGTGTTAATGATCTGCAGTGTATTCACTATTGTTGTTTAATATAAAATATGTTATTTGATATTCCATCATTTAGAACATTTTCACACACACACCCGGCTGCTTAGACATTTTTCTCTGGACCTGTCAAGACGCTCTAGAGCAGCATGTTCTTATGGCTATATTAAAGCCCTATGCAGTATTAAATATACATAATTTATATAGCACATAGCCCTTTTGGTCATTCAGTGATGTAAAATGAAACTAAAATATCACTCTTTTAGGTACAAGATCTTGTTAGTACTATCTTAAAAACGACATCAGGGACTCCAGCCACTGAAGGCTTCTTCTTCAGTGATGCCTTGATAAATTAATCACAGTGAATGCAGTTTTGAAATGAAATGGGAAATCTAGATTCAGATCTCATTTGATTCTGGGTATCCCCTAGTAGCTTGTGAACAAAGACCAATTTCTCAACTTTAGCTTTCCTTTTTTTTAAAATGGGAATTATAAGGAGCCACAAAAGATCAGATGATAAGATAAGGAATGTAAAGCACTTCCAAGAAGGTGGTGGCCATGGGTGTGGACCCACCCTGCCATAAAGCCAGCTGATGACCTTTTCCCTTGAGGCTCCCAGACTGACAAGGCATTACCCCTTATGAGTCACGTCCCCTGACCACTCTTCTGGCATCTTGTGGGGAAAAAACGACAGGATGAAGCCGTTCTTCAGTCACCCGTTTCGATTCCTTAGCTTTTTTCAGGGGTTAAGTATCTGGTTCTCTTAACCCTCCAAGTTTCTTTCCAAGCAGTATTGCCACTTTTGGGGGTTGTCCAGAAGATTTCCTTCCTTTTGGGTCCATCTTCTAAAACAGTTGTAGGACGTACGTGTCGGTATATTTCTTAACCTGAGATTCCCTGTTATTTTCAGGTCCAGCATTCGTATTCAGTTTTTTTCTCTGCTGATCTGTTGAGCTCTCTAGCTGGAAGTGGGTGAAGGGCCTGGATTCAAATCTCACTTGAGTCTGGCTTGGCTGTTTCCTTTTACCATCATGGTCTAAGGTCTGCATAGGTAGCATCTGACTAGATTACCTTACACAGACCTTAATATGTCTAAGCATCCACACAATCATCATTTAAACTTCTAAAAATTAGCAAGTTTCTAGCCCCTAGGCTACGAAGATAGTCTCGGAAGCCTGGTAAAATAGCACAAGCTGGTGCTGAGCAAGGATTTTTAGTGGGTGTGAAGGTAGAGCCTGTGTTCATGCCTATGTGTTTGGGGTGTTTTTGTTTGCTTCTTATGCAAAGTACACGTATAGGTGTCTTAGATTTTACCTTTCCTAGGGGAATGAGCTAATATTTTTCGCATGGCATGCACACAGACCTGCACCCATGAAAAGCTGGAACACAGATCCAGGGCAGGCAAAGGATTATTTTTTCACACACTGCATAATGAAGGCCCCGGTCACACGTAAGGGTTTGGGCCGGGAGAGGGACGGATCTGGGGCGCAGCAAACGGGCGCAATCGCACAGCAACATCTGGGAAGCAGCGCGCACCCGTCCCCGATCCGGCCCTTCAGGCTGAAAACCCGCTGCAAAAAAGAACCACCCCTAGAGGTGGACTTACCAGAAAGGCCGCGGCAAGCGCGGCCGTGGGATCGCCGGCGCATCCTTCTGCCGGCGCATCCAAGGCTCCTGGCCGAACTGCGCATGCTTACACATGCGCAGTTCAGCAGCCTCCATCTCCGTCTCGTGGCTTTCTCCCTGGTCTCCCCAGCCCGGTCTCCCCGGCATCTGATCGTGCCAGGGAACAAGTGCGCGGCGGCTCACGGGATCTATGTGATCCTGCCGCCGCGTGCCTATTTTGGTGCGGCTTTCAAAAACCGCACTTTGCCCACGCATCCCCCCCCCCCTTGTGTGGCAGGGACCGAAGTTTACAGTCATAAGATGTTTTAATGTCTGTGGGTTTAGATGATTTTAGAAGGAGATTAGACAGATTTATCGGATTGCTCTATCAATAGCTGTTAGCCATGGTAGCAGGTGGAACTTCCCGGGTGAGAGGAAGTATGCCTCTGAATATTAGTTGTGAGGAAAGGCTGCTGCCTTCATGCCCTGTTCGTAGTCTTCCCAGAAACATCTGACCCAGCAGCCACTGTTGGAAGCTGGATAGGTCTGGATGGCTATTGGTTCTGATCCAGCAGGGCTGCTTTTACATTCTCATGGGAATTACATTCTCATGCTTGTCTACACTTGGCATTTTTTTCTTTTGGGAATATCAGAAAGATGTACATCAGATGTCTTTCTAGTTACAAAGGAAATTCCAGTGGATCCAGCAGCCTTTCCTATATTTTGCCTATGTTTAACGAATTATCATTGATTGATTCATGAGGACTGCATTGTGATAAATACCTTTAGAGCTGGAACCTGAGCAAGCAGCTGCATAATGTTTCTGAAAAGCTGAATTTGAGTCATAGGGATAAGATAAGCACACTGAGTCATCTCAGACTCTGATGTTTTAACATCTTGATGTTTTCAAAAGGGTCGTACTTAACGCTCTGTTAATCATAATGTTTGTCCAGTTTGAGTTGCTGACAAGAAAAGTTACATTAATCCTACTAGAGCAAGTACCAAACCCAGTGCTGCTGTTACAAATGACTCATGGAAGTATGTAGGTAGAAGACCATTTATTTTTGCAAGCCAGATACCTCCTAAATATTGGGTGGGATCCACATTTGGAGCTTAGAATAACTGAATTTCAAATGAATTATTTATGATATCTAGACCCAAATAAAACAGAAAGATTCAAGTAGAGAAATATGTGAGATTTAGTGTACCAGGAAATTAGGTATTAGTTTCTCAGCAACTTATTTGTAGGAAATTTCCTGATACATAGTTTTAAGACTGACCCAGAGTTTCTCATAGTCTGTTCTAAGCTACTAGGGCTTTTAAGCTCTGATTTTACCTCTCCTACCCAGAAACTTCATTTGGTATGCCCAGAACTGTGTATTCAATTATCATATTATCTGAATACAAAAGTTGGTATTGGATGAGAAATTCTTATGCTGAGAATCTCAGCTTTGAGTGGGAAACAGCACGTTTCTGGTGAACCTATTGTTCCTTTTGGATAAATACAGTATATATGTTCACTAGTTTTTCTGTCCACCCATTGTTGCTACATTAGCCTGTGTCCTGCAAAACTGGTGACAAAACAGGGCCAGTTCTTTGCCCAAAAGTGAGGGGAACCTCTAAAGCTTTGTGAAGGCCACCAAGATTGTCATCTCTGTTAGCAGAATCGAATATGAGCTTCAGAGATTCTCTGAGGTGTCCTTTGTGTTAGTTTCAGGCAATCTAACTTTGTTGGCGCTGCACCCACAATGGATACAGACTAACAAGCCTGTCTAAGCATCAAGTAGCTTCTTTTGAGCTATCACTATTTCTGCCTCAGATCCTTCCATGAAGAAACCTTGGCAATTATTCACTAGAGCAAGTAGTTTACTTAGCCCAGCAGAAACAGTGAAGTAAGAAAACAAAGAGGATATTAGCCAGAAATTTTAGTAGTGTGTGGTATGCAATGAAAATGAAGTTGTTACTGCTGATGGAAAATGCTAAAAGTAAAAACTGGAAAACAGTTCCTAATTTACACTTGTAATCAATGCTATCTTATTGCTACCCCTGCTACATTTTAAGCTACTTGTCCTTGATTGTGCTTTCCTTGCCTTTCCCAAATATCCCTGTGTTCTAAGTTATGCTTTCTTCTCTATTTGTTGCTAGCCTGCCTCTGATTGTCTCAATTCACAAAGCCACATTTGGTGCCTGAAGGTGACTCCTGTAGATTACCTCCTGGGAGTGGCTGATCTAACTGGAGAGCTGATGCGGATGTGCATCAGTAGTGTTGGCAACGGTGACATAGATACTCCGTTCGAACTGAGCCAGTTCCTGCGTCAAATATATGATGGCTTTTCATACATCGGCAACACTGGACCATATGAAGTTTCTAAAAAACTCTACACCTTGAAGCAGAGTCTGGCCAAAGTGGAGAATGCATGCTACACATTGAAAGTTAGGGGGTCTGAGATACCAAAGCACATGCTAGCAGATGTGTTTTCCTCCAAAACAGAAATCATTGAGCAAGAAGATGGGCTTCCTTAAAGCAATAGGAAGCTCACGACCAAAAGGGAGAACAACTGTAAAGTCATATTAAAGAATTGCAATAATTAAGATTTGCTTGCTCGAAGTCTTAGAAGTATGTATGTCTCTTTTAAACTTGGTTGTTTTAAGGTCAGCTGAAGAAGCAGGATAATGTGTATCCCCAAAACTGTTCTTGCATAAAGGATGAACAAGCCTATCAAGCTGATTTTTCTGTGGGAGATTTGTAGCCAAAAATGTCACTGTTGATATTTTTAATATGACTTATTTTAGTGTTGTGGACCCCCTGCAGCATACTTTAGTCATTGTAGCCAGGCCTCTAGTAGGCAGTATGCTATGAATGTTGTAATATTTCTTCTTTTTCTCTCTCCTTTTGTTAAGTGGTCCATGTTTCAGATGTGTGAGAGAGAGGCAGTTGTGGTATGGAAGCCCAATGTGCTGATTCAAAGAGATTAATGAAAACAAGGGGAAACATTTTTGTTAAGGGGGAAATATACCTTCAGGAGTCAGAAAGTAAGCTCACTTACTCATTATTTTCTTATTCTGAGGTTTTAATAACCTGTTTGAACATCCTGCCTTAATGCTGGCTTTCAGTTTCTTAGTTTATATTGAAAAACCAAAACACGTATTCAAGCCAAACCAAGCCAAAAAAAAAAAAAGGCTAAAAACCCTGAATTAGTAGAGCATGGTTATGTTTGCAACAGAAGCACATTCTTTCAGTTATGGGTAAAATCAACATGCACATCTATTAATGAGCTCTAATCGATGTTCTGCAGTACAGGACATCTCCGTTGCAGAAGTGCCCTTTGATTAAGCTGTTTCAGAGTGTGCTTAACATGAGATGATCTCATGTATATGGAAGTTGCTCTATATACAGGTGCTTGGAAACTGCAGGTGGCAGCAGCTTCCAAGTACAGACAGAAACCACACATGTACAATTCTCAGCCTGTCAGAATCCTGTGTAGAGTGATTGTGTTATTTTCTGTAAAATTTGATAACCTGTGAAAAACTGTTTAGATACCCAGAAGCAGAAATAAAGTTGACTGGAGATAAATCAAGGGGAAGGTTCAGGATTATATGTTTAAAAAATAGAAAACTTATATAAAAACAAAATATTTCAGACAAATACCCGAGTTTGTATGAAATACTCACAGGGAGCATGCACAAAGTTCAGAAAGTGTGCTGTCAATAGAAGATGTGTTCTGTGAATCATTCCGAATTAAAAGTACCCCCCTTTACATATAGTTAAGATAGATCCTAAGCAGTGTGAATCACAGTTGTTGAGCAAAGTACAAAGAACTGCCCCGGCTCCCCCCTTCCATTGCAGCCTTCTGTGTCATCATGTCCATCCGTCCCCCCGCCAATTGTGTTCCAGTGGTTCAGTGGACTCCCAAGAACATTAAGGAGGGAGCCTGTAGGAAGGGGAATTGGCAAATCCCTCTCTTCTTTTCCACAAACTAAAATGCCATTTTATCAGAGGAAAGGTACCTTAGGATCTAATCCAGGAAATTTTGTAATGGAAAAATTAAAAAAATGTGTGTGTATATATAAAAATACTGAAGCAGTTAAAGGAACAGGTCTTTCCATTACACATAAAAATACTTTCCCCCTCACTTTCATGTGGTTGTATACAGCCAATAAGAAAGCATGTTCTAGACATGTTAGATACCACAAGAATTGCTAGCATTTGTTTAGAATAATTATTGTTTTTATGTGATAGTTTAAAAAGGAATGTTTTCAGTTATTTAATAAAGCAAATTGTATTGATATTTCTACTTTTTTAATACAATAAACTAGTGAAAAATGCCTTCTTGTAATTAATGTTAGGTTTCATCTATTTTGGGGGGGTATTTTTTATGTGAGTGTGTGTGCACCTGGAAGTCATGGCGACCTCTGGTGACTGACCCCTACTGGGGGCCTGGAGAAGAGCTGGCTGAGTACAGCCTGCCCCCATATCCTGCCCCTGGTATTGCAAGGAGGTCTCCCATCCAAGTACTTGACAGAGTTGACCCTACTTAGCTTCTGAGATCTGACAAGAACAGGCTTGCCTGGGCTATCCAGGTCAGGGCCATCTATTTTGTTTTACAATTGTTGTGTGTTTGCATACTTTTAAGCTTTAATCAAAGGAATCTTTTGCCACGGCATTTTGCCATCTTGGAACACCATGAATTTGTTCAAAAAAAATCAGAAATAAAGCTTTTAGAGATTGACTAATTTGAGCTTAAAGTCCTAGAGGAGTTCTGAAATGTAGATTCAGCTCATTGCCAAGATGCAGCTCGTTGCCAAACATACACCCAAGAGGTATAAATTTACACGGTAATCCTAAAGTGGGCTTGAAGCTCAACATCAAAAAAACTAAGATCATGGCATCTGGCCCCATCACTCCTTGGCAAATAGAAGGGGAAGTCGTGGAAGTAGTGACAGACTTCACGTTCCTGGAATCCCAGATCACCGCAGACTGTGACAGCAGCCATGAAATTAAAAGACGCCTGCTCCTTGGGAGGAAAGCGATGGCGAACCTAAACAGCATGATAAAAAGTAGAGACATCTCCCTGCCAACAAAAGTCCGCATGGTCAAAGCAATGGTATTCCCAGTAGTCATGTATGGCTGCGAGAGTTATAAGGAAGGCCGAGCGCCAAAGAATAGATTCTTTTGAGCTATGGTGCTGGAAAAGACTCTTGAGAGTCCCTTGGACTGCAAGAAGATCAAATCAGTGAATCCTAAAAGAAATCAACCCTGACTGTTCCCTGGAAGGCCAGATAATGAAACTGAAGCTCAAATACTTTGGCCACCAAATGAGAAGGGAGCACTCACTGGAGAAGACCCTGATGCTGGGAAAGATTGAAGGTCAAAGAAGACGGGGACGGCAAAGGATGAGATGGTTAGACAGTGTCATAGATGCAACGAACATAAAATTGAGCGGGCTTCAGAGGACGGCGGAAAACAGGAGGGCCTGGCGAGATCTGGTCCATGGGGTCGCGAAGAGTCGGACTCGACTGTGCGACTGAACAACAACAAAAAAATTGAGCTTAAAGTCCTAGAGGACTTCTGAAATGTAAATTCAGCTCGTTGCCAAGATTCAGCTTGTTGCCAAGCATACAACCAAGAGGTATAAATTTACAGGGTAATCCTAAACAGAGTTATAACCTAAGTCAATTGGCTCAACTAACTTAGTGCAACTCTGCTTAGAACTGCCATATTAGTTCTTTGTGTATAGGAAAAGACTGACTGACATGTTCAACAGAAGTGTCTTGAGCCTCATCTGGCAGGTACTAAGGCTTGAAAAAAATCCAGGGATAGGCTTTAAAGAGGCAAAACAATTGTCTTGGCATAGAATAACGGGTAGAATAATTGAAATTACTTATGTACCATGGTAATTTATTGCAACTTTTGGATAAAATAATAGGGATAAATATTGGCTATGATACTGCAGCTCAGCACTACTCTCGGCAGTTGAGTTGCCCCATTGTCAGTAGTGGCAAGGAAAGAGAGTACTTGTAGAGACTGTCTGCTGTAGCCAGAGGAGGGTGGTCTGTGTGGATACAGAACTCTTTAACTTTGCTATATGGCGTTAGAATAAACTGTTTTGATGATGGGGAGCATAGTTGGAAATTAGATATGGGCAGGAATTTTACACTAATTACGCAAATGTGTCAGGAGGAAGGAAGAGCTAGAAGTAGACTTGGTACATGGCAGATAAGTAATGCAAACAATTTCCAACTCCCTCTCAAATCATTCATACTACCAAAATGAAACTGTTTAGTTGCTGTGGTAACCAACAGAGCATTCTGTGAAAATGTTCTGCTCCATGATGATATTGCTGTTTCTTTTAAATCTTTTATGTGAGGTGGCAGTGCACAACTCATGAGTCATTGATACTCCCAACACTATTATATTGCATTGCTGTACTTATAAAATTGTCATTTCTTTTGCAGGACAGTTACCCACTGGGTCAAAAGGGATGCCCTTCTCCAGCTATTATCCTTATTCTTTGCTCCCTCCCTAATGCTTCTCACAAAAAGAGTAGGCCTTGAACATTGACAGGAAGACTTGATAGGGCAGGAGCCAGATAGAGGGAAATGTTCATGTTTCTATAACTTTGCTCATGGTGCATTTTAATTCATATTTAGATTGTCAGTCAGTACTGAGATAGACATTTTAAGACTAGTGGGAAACACCTGTTTTCGGTAACAACACTTCTGTATCACTGATTGCATTGACCATGTAAATAAAAGTTTAAATACCACAGTTGTGAGAACAAGGAAGACTAGATGTATAAAAGGAAACCCACATTAGCTTGGCTTCAGTATAGTAGCAAACTCATCAATCATCATCATTATCTCCTCCTCTAATAGCGAAGTCAGGCAAATCTGAGATAGGGTAGGGATCTGATGACTGAAGCTGTGAATGGGCAAGACATCTTTCTACAAACCTGAAAAATGCCCCAGACTTGCAGAAAAATCTGAAAGCTACAAAAACACATTGTGGGATTTTTTAAAAACCCAAAGTGTAAAAGGAATGCCTGTAGCTTTAAAAAACTGAAGCTTTCAGTGACAGTTGTTAGGCAACCACAACATTATAGGTTTGGTTTTTGTCAGTAAAAGGAAGGGGGGAAGGCACAGGACACTTTCAAGGGATGTTTTGGCCTTTGGTGGAAGACTCATTAGGGCTAGGCCTGACAGCGACCACTGGAAGACTTGATAACACTCAACTGCATGACTCACCTAGGCCTGGCTGCTTGCTACTGTTTAACAGCAGGCACCCTGTTAAAGCCAGTGTGGTGTAGTGGTTAGAGCGTCAGAGTAGGATCTGGGAGATCCAGGCTGAAATCATTGGTCTGCCATTAAGGATGTGCATTGGGTTCATCTGAACCGAATGCACCCCCGAAAATGGCTCATTAGGGCCCCTTTCGGGCTGCTGCGGGCCAATTCAGATTCTCTGATCTGAATTGGCTTGCCGCCGAATTGCCGCCAAGAACAAGTGGCACTAACCCTGACCCCAAAAGACCAACAGGAACAACATTTATACAGCCCTGCCCTGTATGAATTGATGGTGCAACCGCATTGGACCACTCACACCACACACACCTAGAAAAGAATATTTATAGCACTGGAAAAAATGCAGAAAAGGGCAACCACAATGATAAGAGGACACTTTCCCTATGAAGAAAGGTTAAGGCACTTGGGGATCTTGGCTTTGAGAAACAATGCCTGAGGGGTGACATGATAAGAGGTTTACAAGACTATGCATGGGATAGAGCAGGTAGAGAAAAAAGTACTTTTCACCCTATCTCCCAAGACAAGAACACTTGGGCACTCAATGGAATTGCTGAGCAGTCAGGTTAGAAGTTAGAACAGATGAAGTACTTCTTCACCCAAACAGTGATTAACACTGGTGGCTAGTGGCTATAGATAAGAAGGAACTCTTGGTCTCTGGGGCAAATGATGCTCTGGTGCTTGAGGGGGCAACAGTGGGAGGGCTTCAAGTGTCCTGGCCCCACTGGTGGACCTCCTGATGGCACCTGGTATTTTTCGCCACTGTGTGACAGAGTGTTGGACTGGATGGGTCAGTGCCCTGATGCAACATTGGCTTCTCTTATGTTCTTATGTAACATCAGAGAGGAGCTGCGGTGGCTCAAGTTGTTAAGACACTGAACTG